TTCACATAGAAGTCCAGCCGTTCTTGGCTACTTCCCAGGAAAGGCAAATCTTAGTAAGGGGAGGGACAGGGCAGAGAATTAATAATATCTTTTGAACGCTAATTATGTGCCAGATATTTTATTTTTTTATTCTTTTTAACTCTAACTATAATTCTGTGGGGTGAACTGTTTCTCCCATTTTAGATATGAAAACCAAGGTGGAACGACATTAAATAACTTAGCTGTGATCAGACAAATTCATCAACGGATCAAGCCAGAGAATTCATAAAGTCAATTAGTTACTTGAAACCATATTAGATTGCTATAGAATAACTTTTATTAAATTGTACTCTGAGACAACGCTGTTAGTCTACATTGAGGTTGTCATATGAAACAATCCACAGGAGAAATTTTCCTCTGGCCTCAAAAACAGAAGAGTTTTGCTTTACCTGAGCAACTGGCTTGTTTTTACCTTAAGAACTTACAAATATATAACCAATAAGGTTTCTCTCTTTTTGTTGGTCTCTATAAAGTTTGGAGCCAAATCTGTGACACCACTCCAGTAAGTGTGTAAGGCTTCATGGCAAATACTTTGTGCACTAACCCCACTCCTGTCACTCCTGCAATCTCCCTACTATCCTACCTTTTTTTTTTCCACTCTTGGCCTCATTTTTTAACTGTGCTCTGGAATCTAGGGCAGAAATCAACAAATTTTCTCTGCAAAGGGCCAGATAGTAAATATTTTAGGCTTTGAAGGCCATAAGGTTTCTGTTGCTGCTACTCAATTCTGTTGTTGTAGCATGAAAGCCACACTATGTAATGAATGGGTGGGGCTGTGTTCCAATAAAACTTTATGGGCCAGATTTGGCCTGCAAGCCATAGTTTACTGAGGTCTGATCTAAGCTTCAAGAGGGCAAGGACATTATGTGTCTTATTCTTTCCTATGTCCTCAGCACCTAGATTAGAGCCAGGTACACCGTAAGTACTCAGTAAATACTTGTTGAATAAATAATTCTTATTTACTTTTTTAAGTTTTTAATATTTTGCTATATTGTGAAATGTTGTAAATTCTTTTTAGAATAGGATAGGGTATAAACACATATGGCACATAAAAACTATACCCCCCTCCAAAATCCTCTCTGGATTAACCTCAGCCTCCCAATATGAGTCTTTGCACGTAGTAGCCAAGTAAATTTACAGAAATTAGCTGCCATGTCTTGAATTTGTACTAGTTTGAAAAGTTCAGAATTTTGCCCTTTTGCCCCTATTTCTCCAAAAATGGAAAGTAAGAAGGAGAAAACAATGGTTCATAGATTCAAAGTTTGTTGGAAGGTAAAGTGAATGTTTTGCCTTAGTGGAAAGAACACAGATTTTGGTGCTTGCCAGACTTGGTGGGATTTAGATCCCAACTCTACCAGTTACTACCTGTGCAACCTTTAGCAAGTCACTTACCTCTAGGAGACTCTAGGTACATCAGCACCTAGTAAGTGGTGGTTCAGTAGTAGAATTCTCGCCTTCCATATGAGAGACCTGGGTTCAATTCTTGGCCAACACACCTATGTGCAGCCACCACCCTTCTGTCAGTGGAGCTTATGTGCTGTTATGATGCTGAACAGGTTTTAGTGTACCTTCCAGACTAAGACAGACTAGGAAGAAAGGCCTGGCAATCTCTTTCTGAAAAATCAGCCAGTGAAAACCATCTGAATCATAATGGTCTGATTCATTATGCATGGGCTTGCCACGAGTTGGGGGCCAACTCGACAGCAGCTAACAACAACAACAGTACAGTGCCAGGCATATGGAAGATACTCAATAAATGGCAATAGCATCAAAAATAATAATATGGCTATTATTTATTAATTCTATAGATAATGAGTGGCTACTATGTGCCAGCCAGGCACTTTTCTAGGTACTTGGGATATTACTGTTGCTGGTAGGTGCCGTTCAGTCAGTTCCAACTCATAGCGACCCTATGTACAACAGAACAAAACACTGCCCGTTCCTGCACCATCCTCATGATCGTTGTTATGTTTGAGCCCACTGTTGCAGCCACTGTGTCAATCCATCTCGTTGAGGGTCTTCCTCTTTTTTGCTGACCCTCTACTTTACCAAGCATGATGTCTTTCTCTAGGGACTGATCCCTCTCGATAACATGTCCAAAGTACCTGAGATGAAGTCTCGCCATTCTCGGTTCTAAGAAGCATTCTGGCTGTACTTCTTCCAAGACAGATTTGTTCGTTCTTTTGACAATCCATGGTATATTCAATATTCTTCGCCAACACTATAATCCAAAGGCATCAATTCTTCTTCAGTCTTCCTTATTCATCGTCCAGCTTTCATATGCATATGAGGTAATTGAGAACACCATGGTTTCAGTCAGGTGCACCTTAGTCTTTAGAGTGACATCTTTGCTTTTTACCATTTTAAAAAGGTCTTCTGCAGCTCATTTGTCCAATGCAATGCGTCTTTTTGATTTCTTGACTGCTGCTTCCATGGGTGTTGATTGTGGATCCAAGTAAAATGAAATCCTTGATGGCTTGGTTATCTAGTGCTGCTATAACAGAAATACCACAAGTGTATGGCTTTAACAAAGAGAAATTCATTCTCTCACAGTCTAGGAGGCTAGAAGTCCGAATTCAGGGTGCCAGCTCCAGGGAAAGGCTTTTTCTTTCTGTCGGCTCTGGAGGAAAGTTCTTGTCATCAATCTTCCCCTGGTCCAGGAGCTTCTCAGGCGCAGTGTCCCCAGGTCGAAAGGAAGAGCTATTCTCCTGGCTCCTGTTTCTTAGGGTTATGAGGTCCCAGTGTCTCTCTGCTTGCATCTATCTTGTAGATTGAGTCGTGCCTCATTAACATAACTGCTGCTAATCCCATCTCATTAACATCTTAGAGATAAGATTTACAAGACATAGGAAAATCACATCTGATGATAAAATGATGGACAATCACACAATACTGGGAATCATGGCCCAGCCAACTGGACAGATATTTTGGGGGGACACAATTTAATCCATAACACTTGACAACTTCAATCTTTTCTCTGTTTATCATGATGTTGGTTATTGGTCCAGTTGCGAGGATTTTTGTTTTCTTTTTGTTGAGGTGTAATCCATACTGAAGGCTGCAGTTTTTGATCTTCATCAGTAAGTACTTCAAGTCCTCTTCACTTTCAGCAAGCAAGGTTGTGTCATCTGCATATAGCAGGTTGTTAATAAGTCTTCCTCCAATCCTGATGCCCCGTTCTTCATATAGTCCAGCTTCTCCGATTATTTGCTCAGCATACAGATTGAATATGTATGGTGAAAGGATACAACCCTGACGCACACTTTTCCTGACTTTAAACCACGCAGTATCCCCCGTTCTGTTCGAATGACTGCCTCTTGATCTATGTACAAGTTCCTCATGAGCACAATTAAGTGTTCTGAATTCCCATTCTTCACAATGTTATTCATAATTTGTTATGATCCACACAGTCGAATGTCTTTTCATAGTCAATAAAACACAGGTAAATATCTTTCTGGTATTCTCTGCTTGCAGCCAACATCCATCTGACATTAGCAATGATATCCCTCGTTTCATGTCCTCTTCTGAATCTTGCTTGAATTTCTGGCAGTTCTCTGTGGATCTACTGCTGCAACAGCTTTTGAATGATCTTCAGCAAAATTTTACTTGCATGTGATATTAATGATATTGTTGGATAATTTCCACATTCTATTGGATCACCTTTCTTGGGAATAGGCATAAATATGGATCTCTTACAGTTGGTTGGCCTGGTAGCTGTTTTCCAAATTTCTTGGCATAGTGAGCACTTCCAGCACTGCATCCATTTGTTGAAACATCTCAATTGGCATTCAGTGAATTCCTGGAGCCTTGTTCTTCGTCAGTGTCTTCAGTGCAGCTTGGATCTCTTCCTTCAGTACCATTGGTTCTTGATCATATGCTGCCTCCTGAAATGACTGAATGTCGGCCAATTCTTTTTGGTACAGTGACTCTGTATAATTCTTCCATCTTCTTTTGATGCTTCCAGTGTCATTCAGTATTTTGCCCATAGAATCCTTCACTATTGCAACTCGAGGCTTGAATTTTTTCTTCAGTTCTTTCAGCTTGAGAAATGCCGAGTGTGTTCTTCACTTTTGGTTTTCTAACTCCATGTCTTTGCACATGTCATTATAATACTTTACTTTGTCTTCTTGAGTAGCCCTCTGAAATCTTCTGTTCAGCTCTTTTACTTCATCATGTCTTCTGTTTGCTTTAGCTACTCAGTATTCAAGAGCAAGTTTCACAGTCTCTTCTGAGACTCTTCTGAGACATTTTGTTCTTTTTTTTCTTTTCAAAGACCTCTTGCTTTCTTCACGTATGATGTCCTTGATATCATTCCACAACTCATCTGGTCTTCAGTTATTAGTGTTCAACACGTCAAATCTATTCTTCAGATGGTCTCTAAATTCAGGTGGGATATACTCAAGGTCATACTTTGGCTCTCATGGACTTGTTCTACTTTTCTTCAGCTTCAACTTGAACTTGTATATGAGCAATTGATGGTCTGTTCTGAAGACGGCTCCTGGCCTTGTTCTAACTGATAATATTGAGCTTTTCCATGCATCTGTCAGTTTGTCATACTGTGGGGGCTTGTGTGTTGCTGTGATGCTGGAAGTTATGCCATTAGTATTCAAATACCAGCAGGGTCACCCATGGTGAGCTTCCAGAATAAGACACACTAGGAAGAAGGACCTGGCAGTCTACTTCTGAAAAAAAAATAGCCAGTGAAAACCTTATGAAAAGCAGCAGAACACTGTCTGACTTGGGATATAGAGGTAAATAAAAGAGGCAAAAATCCTTGCCTTCATGGATTTTACATTCTAGTGATTATTATGAATGGTTTTTATGTTCTTTCTCTCCATTCTAATATTAGTGATAGTAAACTAGAACAGATTTCCACTTAAATATCTCCAACCTCAAAATGACCTCAAAGTGAAAAGTAGTTGGGTTCAGTTCTGGTTCCCACGGGATTCACAGGCACTTACCCTCCTTGTGTTGAGCCAGGGGCCGGGGAGCTGGTCTCTTTATGTGGAAAGAGGAGACCTTGGTGGGCCCAGGGCCTGACACTGGTCCGTTGGTGGCCTTTAGGGTGGTCTTGGTCCCTCCATCCTGCAGCCTGGATACCAACTTCCCCACGTCCACCTCAGGGCAGGGCTCCAACTTGCTATCTGAAATTGGCCTGCTTGGGGACTTCCTCCCAGGATCAGCTTCCCCAAACTTCTGAATAGGTAGTTTGGGGTATTGTGGCAGCTTGTGGGGTTCTATGCTGCTGGTGATAGTACCATTAGGTGTTTGATGTTGGATTTCATCTGGGAAAAGTTGGTACAAAGAGGGAAGATTAGTGATAACCTTTATCACCTCTTCAGTTTAATACATACATATATACTTAATTTAAAAAAAAGTACACATTTTCTCAAAGGAGCTATCACAATATCACACACAATCAGTCTCCACCCACCCCAACTCATGTGGAGTTACAAGTTCAAGAGAAGTTGGGGATTAAATTCAAGATCTGAGCATGATTTTTTACCACCACAATTCAGTAAAACCACAATAAACCAAGATGTTTTATTCAAAGGGATATGCAATTCAAAAGGGACTTAGAGTCCCCTATCAATTGAATAATCTATTGTTTTTAAATAAAGACATCAGTTAATTCTTAAGTATTTCATTCAAAAGTAAACCGTTAAGGTCGCTCAAATTCCAAGTCAATAAACTTAATAGAATTTAACTTCTTCCTCCAGCGCCATAAAGAAACCTCCTACTAGCCACTTTACATTCTTCCCTTGACCTTTGTGGTCTAGAATTTCCTCTGACCATAGTACATGCTTTTTAGTGTTTCTGAATCTACATAAAGCTTTTGAGGCCCTCTCCCTAGGAAAGGGAGTGAAATAGTTAATATTATTAACATATACAAATCCGTGCACAATTTTGCCAACTAATTTTAAGAGATTCATGGAACCCCAGGAAATTGTCAATGAACCCCACATTGATAACACTTGATATAAATACATTATCACTTTCCTTAGTATTAGAGCACCTAGGTCAGAGTGCAGTGGTTAAAAACAGAGGTTCTGATCTACTAACTGATACCTGAGGGATATAACAACAAATTGCAATACATGGATCTTATTTGTATCCTGAATTAAAAAAAAAAATGAGACCACAGAAGAAATTGGACACTAGATAGTTAATGATCTTAAGGAATTATTGTTTTGTTTTTTAGGGATGATGATGGTATTATGGCTTTGCTTAAAAAAGACACCTTATCTTTTGGAGATACTGTCGGCAAAGGACCTAGTTGTACCCCAAGTAAGGTGGCTTTTGTCCTTGGCTCTGGAGAAATAACCCTTGGAGCTATTGGGGTGCCTTGGTCTGGGACTTCCAGGCCACACCTGAGGATTTGTGCTGGTGAGTGGGGGCTGATCAGACCAGAAAAGACTCACATTGGAGGCCAACATCAACTAGCCTCAGGAGCCATGATTTAGCTTATCATGCATAACTGGCTGATAAAATCTCTGAACAGGGAAGCTCAGAGAGCTTCCTGGTTGATGAGAACATCTGCTCCTGGGAGGGTGGGTCATCCCTTGGGATACGGTAGCTTCATGTTGAGAACCCTCCCAGACCTTGCTCTGTGTGTCTCTTTATTTGTATTCTTTTTGGCTACAATAAATGTGAGGCTTAAGTATGGTATACTCTACATGAATTCTGTGAGCCATTCCAGTGAATTATTGAATCTAAAGGGGCAGTGGGAGCCAGCAGATCAGAAAATAAGGGTGCCATGTGGACTCCCAAGCTTGTGGCTGGTATCCTGAAGGGGTAAATGGGAAACCAGCCCTGAATTGATGGCCAGAAGGTCAGAAAATAAAGAGTGTTGTGTGGACTCCTGAGCTTGCAGCTGGCATCCTTATGGGGTAGTGGGAAAACAGCCCCAAATTGGTGGCCAGCACGTCAGAAGGTTGGGGTGTTGTGTGGACTCCCCAAACTTGTAGCTGGTGTCTGCCTATTTGGCAGTCTGAAGGGTGGTGTCCTTTTAACTTGTGAAGTCTGGCCTTGCTCCAGGGGGTTAGGGTCAGAGAGAGAGAGAGAGAGAGAGAGAGAGTGCCACGGGGTTGCTGGCAATGAGGGCGGAGAAGTGGGAATGTGAGGATTGTTTTGGAGATTGAATTCAAGCTGATCCTTACTACACAGATGCATACTAAAACATTTATGGATGAAATGACAAGATGTCTAGGTTGGGGTTGGGGTCAGGGTACAGATAAAACAAGACTGGCATGTGTTGGTAAATGTTGAAGCTCGGTGATGGATACATAGGGATTCATTATACTGTTTTTTCTCAACTTCTGTATATGTTTGAAACTCTCCATAATAAAATGTTAAAAGAAATGTAAACTCTGGAGCCATGTGGCCACGATTGAATCCCAGTTCTGCTTCTTAGAAACTGTGAGATCTCGGGCAAGTTCCCTAATCTCTTTATGCCTCAATTTCGTCTTCAGAAAAATGTGAATAGTCAGAATACCTACCTCATGAGATTACTATGACGATTTCATGAGATGATATACTTATTTCTGTGCCTGGTACATAATAAACACTCAATAATTGGTAGTTATTATTTATATTATTATCCTCCAAGTAAGCAGTGAGGCAAAAGTTTCCATGTGTGAAAGAAGGGCTAAGTCTTGCTACAAAGACTTCTTCCCCCAGAAAGTTTTCTTTCACCTGGGAATTTCTCAGTAATCACTGCTGCTGCCACCATAGGAGCTGGAGACAAGGGGAGTTGCCTTGTAGAAATGAGCCCAGAGTAGATACATGGCCCTTCTTTTATTAACCCTAGTACAACTGTGATAAGGCTGGAGCAGTCAAACAAAGAATTACCAAAGGCTTACAAATAATGGCAGGGACATAAGCACAAGAGTACCATGAAACTATATCACTTGGCCTCCAGGACATGCCTTACAGTACAGGCATCATTAAACCTCCAGCACTCGGGAGTTAAACCTCAAGCACATCTACTTTCTTAAAACAGTGAAGCATACAGTGACGTGAACTCCTTCTCCCACCTGCTTTGGGACAGATTTCTCAATTACAGATTCCTATCTGAATTCTTCCTTTCTTCAGTGGAGAGACCCTAGTAATTTCTGTCCCTGCTCCCCTTTAGGGGAGATAGTAGAGATTGGCTTTTCCCTATAGGATTCAACAGTATCATCACCATATCAATACAGTATAAGAGGCCCAACTTTATATAAATATGATCCACAGATCTAGTCTCAGAGAGACCACTATCAACCACATGTGAAAGGAAAGGCTCCAAAAGACAAGGGATGGAATGATAAGAGCAATAGCAACTCTGGAACTAGGCCTTCTACCAGGGAAACCATTTTCCAGGTTCTGGGATATGCTGAAGAATAATAATGGTTAAAATGACAATGATGATAATAATAACGACAGTAATAACAATAACAGATACCATACCAGGCCTTGGTCGAAGTGTTTTCCATAGGTCTCATGTAATCATCAAAACAACTCTATAAACTAGGAAGCTTTTATTAGCCCATTTTACAGAAAAGGAATCTAAGGTACAGAGAAGCTCAGTGTCACAAAGCTAACAAGTGGCAAAGCCAGGTTTCAAATCCTGAAGTCTGTTTTCAGAGTCCATACTCTTAAACTACATTATGATATGTTTTCTTTTATTAAGGAAGATGATGGATTCATTATAGTAGCATTCTCAAACTAGGAAAGCTCCAGGGAGTCCATGAACTTCTTAAAATTTTATGCAACATTTTGTACATATTTATGTAAGTTTATTTTTCTGGAGAGAGTGTTCATTGCTCCTGTCAGGTACTAAGACTTCAGTGTCATCCTCTTTCTCTAACCAGCCATCTTTTTCCAGACCAGCCTCAGAAACTGTGCGGAACTGGGAGTGAATCAGGATCAGAAAGGGAGGCCTCACAAATAGGCAAGTGGCTAACCCTTAACCTGGAGGCTTCTCTTCTATGGGTGGGCAAGTGGTAAGGAGGAGCTCTGAAAGGTTGCATGCTAGTAACACAGAAGAGATAGAGCTATTATTATAATACAAGTAGAATCATGTATATAAGTGTTAGGAAGAGAACAGCACTGATTCTGTCTGGAGGGGTTGAAGAAGCTTGTATAAAAAAAGATAACATTTGAGCTGGGCTGTGAATGATTGCAATAGGTGGATGTCATGGATTGAATGATGTCCCCCCAAAAATGTGTGTATTAATTTGGCTGGGTCATGATTCCCAGTATTGTATGATTGTGTACCATTCTGTAATCTGATGTGATTTTCTCATGTGTTGTAAACTCTATCACTATGATGTAATAACATGCATTAGCGACAGTTATATTGATGAGGTCTACAAGATTGGATAATGTCTTAAGCCAATCTCTTTTGAGATATAAAAGAGAGAAGCGAGCAGAAGACACATGGGAACCTGACACCATGAAGAAAGCAGTGCCGGAAGCAGAGTGCATCCTCTGGACCTGAGGTTCCTGCGCTCAGATGCTCCCAGACCAAGGGAAGACAGATGACAAGGACCTTCCTCCAGAGCTGACAAAGAAAGCCTTCCCCCGGAGCTGATGCCCTGAATTTGGACTTGTAACCTACTAGACTGTGAAAATAAATTTCTCATTGTTGAAGCTATACACTTGTGGTATTTCTGATATAGCAGCACTAGATGACCAAGACAGTGGAGAAAAGGGAAGAGGGCATTTTAGGCAAAGGACACCTTGGAGGAGTGAAAGATCATGGTTTGTCTAACCAATATGCCACCAGGGCTCCAAAAAAGAAGATGTAAATAATAATAAGTTTAGTGTGGCTTGAGCACAGGAACCAATTTGAGATGAAAAGGGTGGGTATCTGGAGATGATGTCGATAAATTGGGTAGGGGCTATATATCATGAAAACTATAAATGCCACACTCAAGAGTATGAACTTTATCTTCAGGCCACAGAGGACCATGGTTCATTCTTATTCTCTCTCTCTCTTATCAGGGAAGTGGCATTATTAAATGTTGTTTATAAACCATCCCTTTGGATTCATTATGAAAATTTGATTATGGACAAGAAAGACTGGAGGTAGGAAGACCAGATATGAGACTGCTAATGAGAAGTATCTAAATTAGAGCAGAAACAGTGAAGACAAGACAGATTCAAGAGATGTTAAGGAGGTAGAATGGATAGGGCTTGGGTATGGGGGTGTGAAGGAGTCCATGATAATGTTGGAGGTCTCACTGAGATACTATGTAGAAGAGGAGTGAAAAGTTTGGGGGTAATACAATGAGATACTACT